CAACTTTGATTTTTTTTTTTCGAGCAGGGCACTGGGATCGAATTTGGACCGCAAAGCACACTTGGGAAGCTTAGTCACACCAAGTCGAATACAAGACGGCGGGAAACGTAAGTTGAGTTTAAAAATACCTTTTTATGACATTTTTGAAATTCTTTTTCGGAAGATATTAATCCGGTTTATAAGACCTTTCACTTGTGTGAGATTTTAGCCTATTAAAATCACTCTACTATTATATAAAAGTACTTCAATCTAATACCGAAATAAGTCAATCACTATGCACGTTCTTTTAATGTTATATCTCCTGCATAATTAATGTTTTATTAATATATTTTTATCTAAAAAGAGTTGTTGAGTTCGGGTTATTTTTAAAGCTGTATAACAGTGATAGTGGGGAAGTTTGCACACAGGCAACCCAAACAAGGTTTCAAAACAAAACAAGCTCTAATATATATAGTTTAGAAAAGATATAAAAACACAGGMAACCCAAACAGGTAAAGTTTAAAGGGGAGCTCAATGCTTCAGTATTTTATAACTGCTCTCTCTCTCTTCTCATGTTTGGATAGTCTGTTGTTTACTCCACCTCTCAGTAGCATCATTTCAATGACAAAAGTTCAGAATTCTATTCTACAAAAATAATAGTCCAAGTAAAGTGCATGTTATAATAGCGACACTGCTGACAACAGGAAGTGAACCAGTATTACAGATGTACCCAGAACAGCAATAAACATCACAAGCCAATGGGTAATTCTTTTCTTCTCCTCCACCGCAGTCAGGGATTGTCTTGTCGTAGCACATTTTGGCTGATGTACATCCCCTTGTGAATTTAGTGACTCGGCGACTCTCGTAAGAAGTGTCTACTGACTAAACAAAATGATGTTTGAGTGTAAGTTAGTATGTCATTCATTCAGTCTGTCTGTCTGTCAGTCAGTCATTCAGTCAGTTGGTTCGTCAGTCTGTCTGTCAGTCAGTCAGTCATTCAGTCAGTTGGTTCGTCAGTCTGTCTGTCTGTCAGTCAGTCATTCAGTCAGTTGGTTCGTCAGTCTGTCTGTCAGTCAGTCCGTCAGTCAGTTCATCAGTCTGTCTGTCATTTAGTTAGTCATTCATTCATTCATTCATTCATTCAGTCTATGGGTCAGTTTGTCAGTTGGTTGTCAGTTTGTCGCTCAGTTGGTCAGCCAGTCAGTCACTTTAGTACTTATGAGATTTGTGTTACCATATTTGACTATCTATATGTATGTCGATATAATTATTGATTATAAATATCACTAATTAATGCCTATAGTAAAACGATTCTCAATTATCATCATAATCATTTTTTCCAATTTGGTGCGTTTTCGGCCTTAGGGCACTTCTGTCTGAGTATGTATTGGGAATATTGAGTCCAGCAGTCCCATAAAGTCCAGTGTCTTCCTCAGTATTCTTCTAGCCTGTCGAGTGTCTGTACCCAACAGGGATTCATTCCTAGTCAAAATGTGTCCATTGTCAAACTTTAAAACAAAATACTTGTTCTTAAATTCTTTATTTTTAGACATTTTTTATTTTGTAATGATTGAGAGTTGATTCTTTCATATGTTAATATTTATACATGTTCACATAAAAGAATAATTCTCAAGGGAATGTCACATAGTCTGAAATGAACAATTTGCATACGATGGTAAGAGGGTCTATTGCTTACTATCAATCACGTGATGTTTTGGAGTTGACTGGGGGGCAAACAAGCGAATTGCTGGGGGGCAACTAGAGGATGCTAAGTCAAAACATATCAAAATAAGTCCTCAAACTATTGTATTTGACTATTTTCACAACATCAAACCAGAAAATAAGTGATCAAAACAACCTCCAGGATTCTACAAGCCATCAAAAAAAGAGCTTTTACCGGAAGTGACGTCTATTGATAGCAACCTATTGGACTGGAACTTGAACCGAAATTGTTTTCATAGAATTTTTTAGCTTTTCAAAGGGAATGGATAATGTTAATGTATAACAAAAACATGCCCAATTTCTAAAATTTGATTTGTGCTTCTAAATACTGAATTATGAGAGATTTTATATTTTGGAAAATATGGAACCGCGTATGGCTGGATTGAACTGGACTACGGTTGACTGGATCGTGCGGATCGTAAAACGTTTTTTACGCCGAATTTGCAACTTTTATCCTATGGTGGTTATTTTAATGTTTATAACTAGTAATTGTATGCTGAAATCTTGCAAAAAAATACAGAAACAAATAAAGAATTTTTAAATTTTGACTGACTGACTGACTGACTGACTGACTGACTGACTGACTGACTGACTGACT